CAAATCTTTTTGGACCTGTAGGTTAGTGCATTATTCATTTCGGCTAATACCAAGGAAATGGGAAGGTATAAACATGAGGCATATGATTTCGTTAAATCCCTTGGCCACTTGTAGTGTGGGCTTTTTTCTTCAGACTAAACTCAAATGATTCTATTCATGTGACCTCTGTCACGAATTGTCAGAGTTCAAATGCATTGCAGTACGTTATGACATAGACACATTTGTTTTGTAACTTACCGTACCTGTGAACAGATGTATATAGGGAGACAACATAAAAATTATATGTTAATTTATTAGTAGGTATTTCTACATAAATGAGTTGAGCCTCAAATATGCACACATATCTATCAAGATCACAAGGGTTTTGGCTTTACATAGTATTACTGTAACTGGTTTGAAGGAAGTATTAAATTTCAAGATTGTAATCTCAACATCAACAATATTTCAAAACTCCACTATATCTCTTTTACAGAAGGGAGAAAACATGATGCATCAATGCTGGATGAGTCTGGTCTGTTGAATGAGCTCGAGAGGCATGCATTTTCACCAACTGGCCAGGCAATGTGTATTTATGGTGATCCAGCATATCCCCACCGTGTTCATCTGCAAAGACCATTTCAGTATGGAGTACTGACACATCAGATGCAAAGTTTCAATGAGTCCATGAGTAAAGTTCGTTCCTCAGTCGAGTGGATTTTTGGGGACATCATTAACTATTTTAAATTTTTAGATTTTAAGAAAGACTTGAAGCTGGATTTAAGCCCCATTGGGAAAATGTACATTGTCTGTGCCTTACTTAGGAATGCACTTACTTGCCTTTATGGTAACACAACCTCTGAGTTTTTCCAGTTAGACCCTCCATCTCTGGAAGATTACTTTGCTTAAGTGTCATTCATACTTCAGGGCATAGCTTAATGTTTTTGGTTTGTAGGCTTGTTTTAACAGAAAATCTCCACAAGGAATTATACACATAAGAAATATTACAGGAAACCAAGGGTTCTTGACAAAACTTTTAATGGCAGCTGTCGCCCTTAAGTCTGCATCAATTTCTTTCTTAGTATGATGAGCAGTGCTTCACAGATTTCCAAAATGCCTTTTGTGTCTAGGATTTTGACACCAAAAAAATAATATCCATACTCTGTCCATGGAAGGGGGTGCAATGTCACCCCCACCCCTCTGGAATTTCCAAATGTAAGCAGTGATTCGTATGGAAAACAAGGTCTTTTTCCCCCACCCCCAATATTATGCTATATGCTAAAACTGAAGAACAAACCTATGAAAATGAAGTAATCATTTATTTACTACAATCCAAGATAAAAAAGTATATACAGTGTAATATGCTATGCTATGCAACATATTTTCAAGTATAGCAATTCTAAATGCTCTTTTTGAAATACAATATTTGAGAAAATGGTTGACACTCAAAACATTTAAAACACACTGTAAGTATCACTAGAACAACAAGAAGGCAAGGTTCAATATCATTGTCATGCACTTGCACACTCATGAAATCTGCTCAAGCAGTTCTCGTTCACTTCTCCAAAAATTTAGAAAACATGGTTATCATCATGGTCTGGAATCCATCAATTTGCTTCTGTTGCTGTGCCAGCTGCTGGCTCATCAACTTCATCATAGCTTCATTCTTCTTGGCTTCTTGCTGCAACTCCTGCTTTTTCAGCTCCAGCTCCTCTTTTTTAAATTCATCCAACATTTCATTCCTCTCCTTTAGATACTCCAGGGTGTTGTTTCCACTTGATCTTCTTTTCTTCCCCTTTCCTTCAATCTCACTTCTTTTCATTCTGTCTCCCAGCCTCTCCATTGCCCTCTTTCTCACTTCCTCAGCATCTTTCTTATCTTCCTTTGCCTTCCTCTTTTGTGCTGCTGTCTCCTGTTGGTCTCGATCAGCCTCATCTTCTCTCACAATGAGGTCTTCCAGGGCTTGCTCTACCTCTGTCAATTCTGGGGTGCTAATCCCACTTGCTCTTTCCTCCTCTCTAATTTTCCTCCTATATGCTTTGGCAAGTAGACCATACCTTTCTCTAACACCTCTCTGGTCAACCTTAAATTTGGGGGCTTCTACTCGCAAAAGGCGCTCAGAGATTTCATTCCACTTCCGACCTCTTTGAACTGTCCCACGTTTTGTGCCAGCAAAGGAGCTGTTCGCTAGCATTTCTCTGACTACAATGACATCATGTTCCTCTGTCCAGAACATCCTGTCATAAGAAATGTGGCATAGTAAATAAACTATCAATGACAGTAGTGAAAGAAACAACACACAATCTACAAAAACTCTATCATATTAATAGAGGAAAACAAAGAAACGCCTTACGATGAAAGGTAAACCCCACTGGTAGTAAGAAACAAATATAATGCTAAGAAATAAATATAATGTGTGAACTGTGTAGGAAGTTAAAAAACACATGCATGATGTGTAATTTTAGCATATTCAAGTGTGAGGGACAGTGAGACCTATTTAAAAACTTTGTTGTGAAAAAGGAAGAGACAAAGAGCTATCGAGCTACGAAAAAATGCCGAAGAGGTTGGTTGTATACAAGAAAATATTTAATACAAAAATATTGGGACTAGTAAGTGAAGTTGTTCAATAGAAAACCGACAAGAAAAATTTCGGTCCCGAAATGTTTTCCGGAGTTTTGATAAACGCACGCCACTGGAGAGGAAAACGAAAGGTTTGACAAATGCCGGGTTGAGACAGCTATTCAGCAATTCAAGTCAAAACTCCACAGAAACACAACAGAAGTAGTCTTATTTCTATAAAGGGAGGAAAAACACTCTTGGGAAGTTTGTCGCTTGGAGTTGTTTTTCTCTTTCACGCGGAATACACGAAAAATGTAAACTCCGTACGACAGTCGCAAGTAGAAACTCAATAAAAAAAGAATGACTCTGAAAGTGGTATTTATATAAGCATTAAACAATGATTGAAAGCAGAAAAATGACAGGAAAAGACAAATCACACCTGCAACATCTGCACGACAGAAGCCAACAACAAACATAAAACGAGCCAACAAAAATATTTACTTACGCTGCCTTTTTGTTGCTTGTTTCCTTTGAACATGACGGGGAGGGGGTCGAGACAAACTGAGCAGAGCTCATTACGAGTTTACAGGACTAAATCTCTGAGAAAACCAAAGAAAATCAAGTACACAGAGGGCACAACGTCAAACTGGTGTTTTTGCCGTCCTCGACGGAGTCACGACGGGGTCACGCAACCAGGAAAACAAACCAGATCTCTAATGCGCATGCTTCTTATGGGAAAACAACTTCCGGTCGGCCGTCGTCCTCGCTCCCGTCCTGGATCTTAAGGTCCCTAATGAGGTTTTTGCTCGTTTTTAAGTGTTGCGGCGTCCAACCATTAAGAAGAGGTTTTCATGAATGGAATTTTTGGACATCAGGAGGCATGATGTATGAACAGTTCATGGGTGACTTCACTTATCGTGATTCGGCATCTCGGCAAGTTCAGTTATTTGTAAGCTTCGTGAATTTTCGAGCGACCAGCCTGCTCCACCTCTTAATATATTTTTCTACCAACCGTGGTATTAAGAATTCTCTTCCTTATCCTAAACTTATGCTATGAGCTCACTTTATTAGTATGAGTCTTGCAACAGTCATATGGGAATGTTCATTAAACCAATTTTCTACTTCGCTGCTCGTAAGTTGGTTTGTACAACGGGAGCCCCAACAAATATTTATGGGTGTAAATACAGAATACAGGGCCAGTTTAGTAAAAGCCAGGGTAAATGTTCCAATCGCTTTGCATCACTTATACTTGGTCTGTCAGGAAAGCTATTTTTAATGTCAAAAGGCTGGGAGGGGTTTACTGAACCTTCAAAACCTTCACTGGATTATCATTGGAGTGATAATAAATATTTCAACAGCAATACCGTATTTAGTAGTTTTATATTAGATAGTGACTTCGGTTTCAAGTGTTTCCTTGAAATTGTTTGTACAAAAATTACCCTTTAGATCTGAATTATACTTGAAATGATTATAATGGTTTAGTGTGGGGACAAGAGGCTAATCCAGTTGGTAATAAGAGTGAGTGCACCAGAGAGGGGTATGCGTTGATTAAATCCCCCAAGGGACTGAAGTACAAGAAACAGAAAAAAGAAAATTGAATTTTTTGCAAGGTTTATGGAGAGAATCAAAAGGACCTTGAAAAATGTTCTACTTCAATTGTTTGTGTAGGTTATGAATCTGATTGACAAATTGATTTTTTATCAACCATCAAAAGACTTGATTGTTCCTTGAGCCCAACCCCCTCAGCAGTTCTTTCTACGATACTACCCTTAGCTTATTTGGCCTAGATGGGTATGTGCTACTGATTTAGGGTGGTGACCATTTCACCGTTTAGAGTTTTGAACAAGGTGTCTCTTTGGGCTCTGAAGGTTGATGAAGATCAGTCTATGGTTACATTTTTGGTACCACCAATTTTTCCCTAAGTTTTTTTTCCATGTTTCTAAGTTTAAAAGCTAACTTAATTCTGTACGCCAAATGAAATAAGGATTATAAAATAAGGTCTCTTGGCTTAAAAAGGGTAGGAAAATGGACACTGTGTCCTACTACCCATACTCTCTTTCATTGCAAGCCTAGGGAGGTGATCTCACAATTTAATACCCTTTTACCACTTGTTGTGACAGCAAAGTCAGTGAAGGTTTATGGTCTCTGAAAAAGGCTTTTGCCTGCCTCAACACAAGTTTCTAACCGTTATTGTTGTTTCTTTCTGTGGGTCCCCAACCTACCAACTGTCTAAATACTTAACTAACGTACTGAAACCGCTGACTGACGAATCTAGACACAAACTACAGTCTACTGAGAACTTTATTGACGCCATTAAGACAATACAGATACCGGACGACCACGAACTAGTGTCCTTTGACGTGAAATCGCTGTTCACCAGTATTCCACTTCAACTGGCTCTAGACGGTACCGAGAACGCTATTAAGAACTCTACTGTTGAACTACCACTACCTACAGACGACATTATGGACCTACTCAACCTCTGTTTGACTTCGACGTACTTTCAGTACAACAGCAAACACTACAAACAGTTACACGGTACAGCTATGGGCTCTCCAGTTTCTGTTGTTGTAGCAGAAATTGTCATGCAAAACATCGAGGAACAAGCCCTAGCTACCTACACGCGAACTGTACCTCTTTGGTTACGTTACGTTGACGACACATTCACCGCCGTAGACAAAGACGGAATCGACGATTTTCACGAACACCTTAACAGACAGAACGCGGACATACAGTTCACCAAGGAGATCGAAGAAAATGTTAAGATACCTTTTCTAGACTGCTTGGTCACTCGTGACAACAACAAACTAAAAACCACTATTTACAGAAAACCGACCCATACCGACCGATTACTAGACCAGTCTTCGTACAACCCTACCTCTCACAAGGCTACTACTATCCGGACTCTGACGAGACGAGCGCAACTAGTTTGCGACTCACCTGACAGCCTACAAGACGAGACTGATTATGTTAACAACGTTTTTAGTAAGAACAATTACAACACGAACTTTGTTAGACGGAGACCAACTCTGGCCCTGTTACGACAACGACTATACCGTACATCAGAGGCACCTCTGAAACTATTGCACGTATATTACAACATTACAATATACGTGTTGCGCACAAATCGATAACCATGCACTTTACGGCGACTGCTTACTAATGTCAAGGACAAAGACAAACCGGAGGACAGACAGGGAGCAGTATGCAAGATCAAATGCTGCGACTGCCAGGCTTCTTACATTGGTGAAACCGGCAGAAACCTAAGCACGCGACTGACCGAACACAAACTCGCGACGAGGAATGGTGCCGTCAACAATCACATTGCTGAGCACCATTTAAAGACGAAACATCAAATTGACTGGGACTCTGCGACATGTATAACGTATTCTACAGACTACTAACAACGTCTTACTTTAGAAAGCTGGTTTACTAACTTAGAACAAACGCCACTGAATCGTAGCCAACAGTTACCAGCGCCGTACAAACGACTTATTGACGAAATCAAGCAAAACTAACTACGAGAGAACAACTGGAGAACTGACAATTTGACTAACAATAGACCAATAGACGACTGTTTAGCTGTGACAATAGACGGATCGGGGTTATTTTAACTCCTAATTTAGCTCCGAATTTGGGTCATTTTTACTCCTGAAAAAGAGTTCTTTTTACTCCCAGTCTGGAGTTAAAATCACTCCGAAATGGGGTCACTTTTACTCCTTACATGGGTTGTTTTCACTCTTTTTGGAGTTAATTTAACTCTGAAAGCGGAGTAAAAATTTTAGGTACAGGATAACTCCTTTTTTGGGGTTAATTTAACTCCTCAATATCTGGGGTCACTTTTACTCCTGAAAAAGAGTTCTTTAAACTCCTTTTTGGAGTTAAAATAACTCCCCCGAAAATAACTCCACTGTAAGGAGTTAAACTAGCCCCACTAGTATAGTAGGCGGAATGGTGCAAAATTCAACGAATCAAAATCACTACCAACATCAACAACCAATCTGCAGTTCAATATTTTTTTCTACATGAACAATAAAATCCGTCCAACTTCAACGATTAATATAATAATCAACATTCGAAATATGCCTAATTCAACAACCAGAAAAAATCAACATCAACGAAAATTCCTCTTTTCTTCAACGACAATTTGCCTCACAACCAACATCGGACATCGACTTCAACAACAAAACACGTTCAACAATTTGGGGACGAACGACTGGCTATGGTCGAGGGAGGTTGGGACCCAGAAATTCTAGGAAACAAACATGGCGGATGAAGAGGAGAGAATCAGGCGATGTGTCCGAGAGGAGTTAGAGCTAAATCTTGTATCCAGGACTAGAAATTTAATTGTCAGCTTCAAAAAGCTCGCCTAAAATAAATCTCACCTTACTGTCTAGCCGAGCTCCGGTGCTTTTGTTGCTACGATTTCGCTTTTTTCTGAAACCTCCAATGAGGAGTTTTCGAATACTTGCAATGGAAAACCTGCCGTTTTTGAGGAATTATAACATGTTTTAGGAATTGTGCTAGTGTAAGATCGTCAACACTCTGTTTGTAAATAAACGTGTGCTCGGAAAATTGTAAATTGCTTTTGTTTACACAGTTAAAAGAGGCGCTCATTAATAAGCAGGTTCCTGAGAGCCTGGCAGCTAAAAAGTAGATGTAGATCACGCCGAGAATCGTCCGAGGGAAAATTTATTTTTTTTCTTTAGGTTTGTTGGTTATCCCTCGTCTTCCGATGGGCGGTTGAAAGGAGCTGCAAGAATAAATAGGAAGGAGCGATGGTGAAACACCTATGCCTAAAAAAAATTATCAAGCAGCAGCAAATTCCACCACTTCACAGACAGCTCGTGAAAGCTGTTACAAGTTCAGTTAAGAAAGAAGTGAGAGCCTATAGCAAAGGTCAATCCCGTTGGCGAAATATGATGGCGCCCGCTTGAGCTTAAGACATTTCAAAAGTGAAAAAAAAATTGGAAGAGGAAGCGAACGAATTCCAATCACGTACGCTATCGTAACCAGCAAAGTCAAGCTAAAGCCTTGGTGCTGTCGGTAGCCTGCGTAGCAGGCGCTAGGGAATAAGTGGACGCACGCGATGCAGTGGGCTATTCTCAGTACTTGGCTACCTCGCTCTAATTTTATTTACAGTATAAACAATACCCGGCTTTTAACGGCAGGATGTTATAAATCAGATCTTAGATATCTGAAGCACTGATATCGTCTTCTTTGTCCCGGTCTTGTAAAACCAATACTTCGACAATACTTCTACGTTTTGGTTTGGGTAGAAGCCTAGCCAAACAAGGCTCGCTCCGCTCGCCAAGAGGTCGACTTGTAGTAAGTCTAGTATAAGCCGGGTATATGAGGCTTTTCGGATTTCCATACTCCGAGAAAATCTTTCCTTTTAACTACGAGGCTTTGAAAACATAATTCTTGCTCGGGTTTCATTTTTATTCCAGGAAAGAACTCGAATGCACCCTCTACAGCCTTTTTGAATTCCTCTATGCGTCTCTGTCCGTAAAAGTACCACATGAAGCGGGCCAAGAATGTTTTGTCTTTTTACAGTCGGTCGAGATGACGACCCAAAAGAGCTCCTTTGTGCAGTTTGGCCCGCAAAAACATTATTGAATTCAGGTACAGAACTCGAAGCTGCCGAATGAATTAAATTTCTAGTCCTGGATACAAGATTTAGCTCTAACTCCTCTCGGACACATCGCCTGATTCTCTCCTCTTCATCCGCCATGTTTGTTTCCTAGAATATCTGGGTCCCAACCTCCCTCGACAATAGCCAGTCGTTCGTCCCCAAATTGTTGAACGTGTCTTGTTGTTGAAGTCGATGTCCGATGTTGGTTGTGAGGCAAATCGTCGTTGTTGTTGATGTTGATTTTTTCTGGTTGTTGAATTAGGCATATTTCGAATGTTGATTATTATATTAATCGTTGAAGTTGGACGGATTTTATTGTTCATGTAGAAAAAAAATATTGAACTGCAGATTGGTTGTTGATGTTGGTAGTGATTTTGATTCGTTGAATTTTGTACCATTCCGCCTACCATACACTAGAGGAGTTATTATAACTCCCTGAAAATTACTGTGTTCTTAGCGTAGTTAGCCGCATGTAATAGGGAGTTTAAGATACGGAGACTACGGACTACGAACTACGGCTGGACGAGCGTTGTCCTTTGTTCGTAGCACTGGGTTGAGTCGTGCAAATATAGAACGTTAAGATTGCACTACAGACAGTAGACTACGACAGAAGAGGCGGAGAGGGAAACAACACGCAAAGATCATCTTGTTTTTATCACAGTTCACAAAAATACAAGTCAGTTTTGCATGTGATCTTATCTTTAGAACAATGAACAAATTCTTCCATACTTGAACGAAGCAATTACGTCGGGTGAAATTGGTAAACAAAATTTTGGTTACACAGGTTTTATTTTTCGCCCATGAATACTTATGTCAAATATGAAAGATATAGACAGAAATAGTAATAGCTCATTTATTAGATTTAGAAGATGGACTTCTCCGACTACTGATCTGATGTAGTTTGAAGTACTGAAATGCCGAGTTTCGATTGTCTCGAGCATGTTTACATCATTTTCATTCAGCAAATGGCGCGATACAAAAACTCGCATAAATAAAGGTTACACAAGTACAAAGACTCACTAATCAGTTCGAACAAACATTGAAACTTTTCAAGTGCGAAGAGAAAGTAAATTACCTGCATGATTTCTCTTCTCCTAGGCCGTCAATCTGAATTCTGCGTATAAACAGCTAAGCTTATAAAATGTAGGCACAACAGTGGATTAAAAGCGTAAATCTGAGCAGAAATTAGACACAACTTACATATTTCGCTTCCCTCTCACTTACAGCAGATGAATTGAAAACTTTTTTACGAAAAGACGAGATTCTTGAATTACCGAGACGGCAAAATACGAGCAAAATGTTCTCCGTAGTCCCGACTACGCGAAACAGCTCAACAACTCACCGTAGCCGCAGGACTACGCGGGAAAAATGAACAGTCAAGTGGTTTTGATCATGCGCAGTAGCATATTTATCCGTAGCCGTAGTCCGTAGTCGCCGTATCTTAAACTCCCTAATGACAAACGCAAGACCAGAAGAAAGGAAAACGTAAGCTCCACATTACCTCGGAAAAAAATTGGTTACAGCAAAGAAAGCAACGACCAACGGGACCAAAAGCGAATTCACTTGACACTGTCGAATCGCAGCGAAGAAGCTTCGAAGACGAACTTGTTGTTGTTCTCAACCCGTTTCCCGCATGCTCGCTACAGTTCTCGGATGATTGACAGATTTCTTAACCCCGGGGTAAATATTTATAAAAAATTCGTGTTAAGGGAGCCAGTAGTCAATTAATTGAGTTAATTAATTGAGTCGCCGTTAGGTATTTAACTAATAGCTACCGTTACAGCCATTTGCTATAAACCAATCCAAAAGTCGTATTTGACTACTGGCTACCTTAGGATCATTCACTATGCACAGATCCAAAAGTAGCCATTTTTAAATACTTAAAAGTATTTAACTAATGGCTACCGTTACAGCCATTTACTGTAAACCAATCCAAAAGTCGCCGTTAAGTATTTGACTACTGGCTACCTGTACAGCCATTTACTATAAACCGAGCAAGTAGAAGTGAATTAGGACGATTGCCATTAATTATTAATATTTACAAAAACATCCTTTATTACATAATGTATCTCCTGCGTAAAAACGAGGATACTATTGTTAAACAAGCCTTTCGTACCTCGCTAGAACTTCATTGTAATGGTGAAAATAGTTTTTACCATAATCTTATGAAAATACCAGCTGAATATAGACCTTGTCACGGTTTTCGACGCCATCTTGACGAGTAGGTAAACGCGTAAGAAATTAGAGTGAGTGTATGAGAATCTAATGTCGAATAATTTCCGTAGAACGGCTGTTCTGAAAAAAATATGAGGGCGTTACATGCACTAGAAGACCTATAACCACTTGTTAAAGTTTTCTATACATTTGCCTGTAAGAAAGTCCCGGGAAAATTACAAACAAATATATGGAAAATATATTCTAAAAAAATTAAATCTAAAAAAAGCCTCTAGAGAAATTTAAACACAGGTACGCCCCCAAATATTTTTAGGACAATCCTTTGCTTTGTAGCTTTAGTTTACAACTGATGTTTTGTTCAGAACGGCCGTTTTACGGAAATTATTCAACATTAGATTTTCATACAAACACTGTAATTTCTCACGCGTTTGCCTACTCGCCAAGATGGGGTCGAAAACCGTGACAAGGTCTATTATGGCCTGCCCGATTTTGATCCTTATAATTTCAGTGAAGCTAAGATCAAACACTATACAGATATAATAAAACAAAAATATATTACATATTGGCAACATACAATCCATCATTCTATTAGAAACTGCAACTTTACAGCTTATTTAAACATGATTATAAAATTTCAAGTTATCTAGACTTAATTAGAAATTCAGCCAATAGGAATGACTTAGCGAAAATTCGTATAAGTAACACAAACTCATGATTGAAACTGGAAGATATAATAATCAAACTCCCCGCAACGATAGATTTACCCTATTTGTAACTCTTGTATAATTGAAGACGAATTTCATTTTCTCAGTTCCATTGTCCAAAATATTCAATCCCAAGGGAGAAATTCTATAATCAAATCTAACAAAATTTTGTCGACTTTAATCAGCTATCCTACACAGAATTAATAATTAAATCGATGAATTCACTGAATTTTTCCGTAAATTCACATTTGTTGAAATTTGTCTCATTATGTAATGATTTACGTACTAATTTGTTATCAAATCATGCTGATGACACTGATTAACTGTAGTAATCATTGCATTGCATTATCATTGTTATAAATTGTAACTTTATGTTAAAGCTTTTGCAATACTGTAACTACATAATTATAGTCATGCAAATAAAGCTTATGTTGTTGTTGTTGTTGTTGATCCAAAAGGCGCCGTTACGTATTTAACTACTGGCTACCTTTGTACACATTCAATATAGTCTTATCCAAAAGTCACCGTCAAGTATTTAACTACTGGCTACCTTAGGACCCATTCACTAAACATAGATCCAAAAGTTGCCGTTAGGTATTTAACTACTGGCTACCGTTACCGCCATTAACTTTAAACCAATCCAAACGTCGCCGTCAAATATTTAACTACTGGCCATTTTTGGACCCATTACACTGATAAACCTATCCAAAAGTAGCCCTTAAGTTTTCGACCATTGGCTACCATTCATCAATAACCGATTCAAAAGTAGCCACTAATGATCTAGGTTTTGTGGCTACCTTGTCGTCGGAATATATATCCGACCCAAAGGTAGCCATTATCTGATTTAGTTACCGGCTACTCTTTGGTCGGTATAATGTGAATACAAACGATGCCACTAAGTTATGCGATGACGGCTACCTTTTGGTCGGTAAAGGAATAGAGAATACCGATCAACTAGTTGGCCTCTCAAATCGTTCGTATATAGCGACGAAAGAAATGGCAAATTTCGCCGTTATCTAAATGTCGCGTTTTCTTAAAGCATTTTGATAGACATGCTGAATACAAGTGGACCTCAACAGTTTCTTAGCGAGCGGAGCGTTCTTTTTAGGCCTCGAAGCGACCGAGCGAGCTACAATTTCGTAAGTAGTGAATCCTAGACATTCTAGCTTTTTGACTGTAAATCAAGAAACCAACACCAGCATGTCGCCGGCTGGGCGTCCTGGACAATTTTCAGTCGCCCGAGGCCAAGTCTTGCGCCGTTAGAGCACACTCCTTGAGTCTTTATCATCGATCATTTACACAGTAAGCTTACTTTTCCCTTCTTTGCTGACGAAGTATCTTTTTACTGCTTGTGCAGTCCAACCTGACTTGCACGTGATTCGAAGTTACAGCCAATGAAAATCACACGATTTTTCGGGACGGGCACGGGATACGGGGAAGTTAAAAAAATAAGGCAATTTTTGACTCCCAAGAATACGAAAGGAATGCGCTCCCGAATTTAAGACGCTGGCTGACTTCGTCATCCCGCGTAATTATGAGTTTATGCAATGACTTGAAAGTCTTCCGAGTCCCAATCCACCACATATAGCCGAGGAGTCGACGACTCTTCAGAGTCTTCAGTACAACATTTCCAGTTATTAACAACATGTGAAAGGCACGTGATGAAGTGGTACAAGAGGCGGGCGACTTGAGAAAGTGCACCAAAAGCTACAAGGAGGCACAGCGCCAGTGGTGCCAAGCTGAGGAGGCCAATCTCAATCCACTTTAAGGCATGGAAGAGGTTTTTGCTTGGGCCAATGGGATCTATTCCATGAGAAATAAGCGTAGCTTCTGTTAAACTGAACATGCAGATAACAGCTAGGCTCAACAGAGAAAAGCCTTCAAGGATGTTAGCTTTCTGTTCGCGAAAAGGCCTCACTGTGAGGTGATGGACTAGAATAATAACACATGCGCAGCTAAGGCAGACAAACCGTATTGTGGGATCCGTAGCAAATGTATGGATGACCAACAAGATCAATCTTCTGCCAGTCAGTACGCTTTCCCAGTATGGGGAGCCATGATCCTCGCTGGAGCCTGCGCGAAATGGACCGTGGAGAACCTGCTTTATTTCTTCTGCATCGTCCACGCATTCAACGTTACGCAATTGTTGATCAACTTTTTTTCTATATTCACGAAACAACCAAAAGAGAAGGCAAGGCAAAGGGAATGCGCAAGCTATTAAAAATTCCTTGACTGTTACTTTGTCTTTGCTAAGTCTCAGTGATCCGCAGAAGAGAACCAGAACAAGGGGGATGATGAAAGACATTATGAAGGCGATCAGAAGGAACTGCCACCACTGCCAACATTGAATATTTCCATCTACAAAAAGACGCCAATCTTTTTCAATAGGAACACAGTGCATAAGCTTAAGGGATGTATCAGCGAGTCTTTCATAACCAAGCAACAGTGTTTCCAAAGCAACAGCCAGGTATAATTTTATTGATGGTGGAGCTGTGTGCAGAGACCTACTGGTGGCTCGATGAATTACATAGATAAGACCAATGGAAAGCAACGTTCCTAGGAACTTCATACACTTGAACAGTTCCTTTGTTACGGCAGTAAGACCAGGGAAAAGACAGCCAATGCTACCGTCCAATGATTTGACCTGGAAATTAAAGATTGCAACGATAGGAGGGATAATTGGTACCAGATGAAACGTTTTTTCTGGAGACTTAATCATTACCAGTTCTTCTACTTGGTAAAAATAAAAGATAATTTTTAGATACCCAGAATCGTGTTCTTTTTCTTCTTCAAATGACATCGGCCTAAAATCACTCCGGGAAGGTTTATTCTTAAACCAAAGACTTTGCTTTAGCAGCTTTGAGAAAATAGGAGGCTTAAAGACAATGTAAACTGCAAAGACAACCACATAAATGCCAGTCGCCAACCAAAACCACGTATTATTACATTTATCGTTCTTTCTACACGAAGTTGAATAGAGTGCCTCACTGTACCCATCAAAACACTTGCCACAAAGCACACCGTCCCTTCTGCCATGGCAACTGTTGTAGCTGTTGTCACTAGAGTGAGTGGAATGACTTGATCTTCTGCAGTATTCAGACGGACAGTGAAAAAATTGCAGACTTGGAATACTCGAAGAACTGTTTCTTAAGCCCAAAAAAAAAAAAAGTTCTCTTTGGCCTTGATTTTTCCATTCTTACACGACGCTCCATATGGACATTTGAGACATTTAGTTTCTTTATTTTTATTTAAACCAGATATAAATCCTCTCTGTAGACTATAAAATCCAGAAGGACATTCTTCGCAAAATATTTTGACGTATCTAACGTCAATCCAACAGGTCTCGCCCCCTTTGGTAAACGTAAAACCCTTGGTTTTTTGGTTGTTATCCATTTTAAGCCACCTGGCAGATGGACATTTAATGGTAGAAGTTGCATCTACGTACAGTAAACTGCTCTTTGTGACAGCTAAGATTGGGTAGAACTTCTTGTTAATGTTTGCTGAAAATGACGAGTTTCTAATAATGACCGGTCCAACGCTCTCAGAATACAAAAAGCATCCATCATTTGAAATTCGCCATGGCTCTACATTTGAATGTGGTTTTAAACGTGACTGAAGAAAGTTGCTGTTGATGATGTTAAGACTACCGTAACCTATTTTCATATAAATATGTCCTCCCGGAGATGATCCTGCGTTGTCTTTGAAAGTGCAATTTTTGAAGGTGGCGTTTACATTGAACAAATTCAATGCTCCTGTGATGGCAACGTTATTTTGGAATATGCTGTTTTCAAATATCACCGGAAACTGAGTTTTGTTACACCACAAAAATTTACTATTGTGAGTTCTATTGAGGCATTTTGGAGGGTCCTCCTCTTTAAATATGATATTTACAGTGGGTTTTTCATCCAGGTGATAAGCAAAGTAAGAATTGTTTAGAAACTTGCAGTTGGTGACGTTAATAAGGCCTGTTACATTCCTTTGCATTTCTACATAGAGAACGCTGTTATGGAATTCTTGAAAGGTGACGTTTTCGAGAGTAACTTTGCATTTGAGATCACTTGGTCTGTGTAAAGAGAAGAGTGTATCCACTAGTAGCCTGATTGCGTCACCGAACTGTCGAGTCTCGCTTCCTCCAACGAAAAGACTGTGTTTAACAGATAATATTTTGCTGCTAGTTGGACATACTCTGTAATGCGGAGGGCAAAGTGACGAAGTTGTTGTCATTCTTATTCCAATTCTGTTATTCGATAGAATGCAGTGGTCCAGGAATAGCTTTAAATCAGGAACCGTGTATTTTATTTTAGTAGGTCCAGCTCCAAAGAAAGCATAACCATACGTAGAATTAATTGTCACCTGACGTAGCTGTACCGAAAATCCGCCCGCCACATAAATGGAATTCTCATTGCTATAAGACCAAAATGACAAAGCAAAGCTATTGTCTTCATGACCAAGGTCTTGAAAAAGACAGTCAGTAATTAAGCTGTTTGTGAATACCATGTTTGTCGGATATCCTAAGTACAAAATTTTTACCTCTGCTTTTCCAGATTTATCACCAGAAACTCCATTAAAACGTCCTTTCGTGCCCTGAAAGACACACCTCGAGATTCTTAAGGTGAACAACCCTTTATACAAGATGGCGAAGATGGACATGTTATTGTGCAAGAATTCGCTGTCAGTGACGACAATGGACGATTTTGGAAAGATTCTCCATTCTTTCTGAACTATAAAAACTGATGCATTGGAGCTGGAGCTATTTATAAACTTACAGCTTGATATCCATACATTGAAACAGCTGACAAACTTTAGATCGACTCCATAGTTGTGGAATACGAGGTTGGATAGAATTAATTTAAAGAGGCGATTCTCAGGATATCTAAAAATAAGATTGCCATAGCGTGGATCACATGTAATGTGCGCCTTTGTGAACAAACCGATTATTGCCACACTTTTGCCAAGCTCTTCCAAAACAATATCTCTGAAAAAACAGCTGTAAGGATGTCTTTCACTGTTTCTTCCATCCAGACAGATCTTTCCTCCATCCCTCACCAACCACAGTGCTTGTGGCAACGTTTGGCACGGCTCAGTCCGAGAACCGCATTGAGGTGTGTCTTGGCCACTTTGATGCGAAACATAAAGACAATCAATTGGTGTTGTATCAGCGCCTATGGAATACAAGTGAAGATATCAGTAGTGAACAAGTTGTGCCTGCCTGTAAGCTGTATCACTACACTATGAAAGATCGGCTGCCGGGTAAAAAATTAGCTGCCTTTTGGGGACTCAGTAATCATTGTTGCTAATAAGTTAATTATTTGTAACGCGACGTGTTATAGTGGACTTGTGTAACAGAAACTATAACGTAGGTACGGTAAGTATGTTCATTAATTCATGACTAACTTCTCAAGTGATCCACCAAGTTGTAAAAATTAAGTGTTTTATGATATTCCAAAACAATGGATGAAATAGATCAACAATCTGATTAGAAGAGAATAGAAATGAAACCTCTCACTTACTGATTTTGTTTATAGCGAGTACCAACATTAAAGAGAGTAGTTGAAGGAGCCACCTGTAGCAGCGCAAGCGAGAATTCATGTCGACGAATATAAGATTACTACGATGCCCAAGGCTGCGCTGGAAAATTTGTAGTAACCCTTATTTCAGAGCAAGGGACGCTAAAAGTATTTAACATTTGGCCACAGCACTAAGCATCACGTCATTGTTGTTATTTCTGGAACCACCGTATATCGCTTCTAGTTTTCAGTAAAAGTACTTTGACCGAGATTTTGAAACGTACATATAGTTTAGAGAGCAAAACGTTCTTTATATGGAAACAGTTCTGTCACTTGTTTTCCAGTCTCATAGCGAGCTAAATGGAGTGCAGACTTATATGAAATACAAATTTGATTTTGTAGGAATAATGTGTCCAGAGATTATTTATTACTAAAGCACACTGTCTGCATGGTCAAATATTAGCTCAATTTACAACGAAAGAAAGTATTTTTATATTAGTTCCATACCCTATATTTTTCCTTGCACGCGTTTTTAGTTTTTAGTACCAACATATACAATATCTAGACATCATAGCCAAACTAGATTGTTTTTGATGGCAGGATATTGTCCTTAATAAAGCGGCTGGTTGAGGCGGAAGATAAGCTCGGCCCGCTGCTTCTACCATAGGGGTACTACCTATAATGGTCTATACGGGGGGCTCCGCCCGAAAGGGGTAGCTTCTTCAGAAATGGTAGGGAATTCACAATTTGAAGTACTTGAAAGTGTGGTTGAAGTTAACAGTTATTGAATGTCCTTATTATATAGCAGTCTCTGTAAAGTTTTCTGATTCACTCAGTCAACATTCCAAGAACACGTGATAATCTAATACAGTCAACATTCCAAGAACACGTGACGATCTGATACCAAAAAAAAAACGTCTTGTTTTGGTCATAAACTCATACGAAGCAGGGTCTATATTGTTTTTGTTGTGTGCAAGCTCCGCTTGAAATGTGAATACTAAAAATTCATGATATATTTGTGGTCAAATAACAATCTCGCATATACAAAAAATCTTGATTTTTAACCGTAGTCTTGCCATTGAAAACTAAGACCGATTCTGTTACATAATGAAAAAATCGTATTATATAATGACTGGGTGACCTGTTATCACAATACAGTGTCTGTATTGAACAAGGACATCGTGCAAAATATTATGTCGGGGTTACCATGGTAACAAGTCGAACATTGCAAAAGAGACTATTCAGTGAGCTCCAGAGTTGTATTGGCTTTAAATTGTATTGTATTCTTCTTAATTTTGACATGTTCAACTCTAAATAATTTAATTTCTAGAAGGGAAATGCGATTAGCTGTTACGTTTAGTGCATATTAGGAAGGTTGTCAAAGCTGTCCGGTTCAGGCAGACTTGAAATGTACCGCCTCTCAGGGGCGGATCCAAGATTTTTTTTCAGGGGGGGCGGGTGCACTCGTCTCTTGCTCTACTTCAACACCAATAAACCACATAGTTTTTTTTTTAGCAGAATACCAGTTGTATTAGAAAACCACAGGTCATCTCAGGTGGGGGTGCGCACCCCCTGCACCCTCCCCCTAGATCCGCCCCTGCCTCTGTTATGATAGCCATCCCATGGTCTCCGCTTCATCTTGAAAAACACGTATGACTTTGTCTTGATAATACCTAGTAGTTGAAGTAAAATGAAACTAACAAACAACCACGTCAAATTAATTATGAAGTTCAAGTGAAAGATCTTGGATTTACAAATAGTTTATTGCTCTTGTACCAGCTTGTACCAGTTGTTTTCGTTACAAGCAAGCGGTCAACGTGCGAACGCAACGGAACAGTCGAGCTAAAACCAGTAACATTTCTTCAGAGGGCGTAGCTGACAAATGATATTCCTGGCCGATTGCATTTCTTACTTTCAACGCACAACATAGCTAGTTCCTTGCTCTTCAGAGCTTTTACAGCTCAATACGGTAATAGCTAGTAGTCAGATTACGTAACTAACCAAATAGAATATCCCTAATCTAGTCGATAAAACCAATCTACCATTTACAATGCAGAAATGAACTACATAAATCTTACATTTTGGCATTTTTTGGCGATATAAAAAAATCGTGAAATTTAAAGGTTTCGGAAATAAAATGCGCGAGAATTTTATCGCGAAATTTAATTACTATATTTTATAACACCCATTATCAAATCACTTACTGACTGGCTCTTAGTGGTAAAATTTACACTATTTAGTTTTTTTGTTCTAAATAGCAACATTTCTGTTCAAATTCTCATCATGTTGCTCTTATATCGCATTATTTTTCTTTTACCTGGAAAATAAGATATATACGGACGTTTCCATTTCCGCTTTTTTGATAAACTGGCTGCTGGATAAATAAAATATTGGATTTGGCAACTTAGTTGATAAAGTAGATTGGCTATTAATGGAGGATTGAAAAGCAGACGTTTAGAGCGCTTCGTCAGAGCCAATCGCTTTTTCGATCCTTATCCCTCGCTCTCATCCCGGCAGTCATGTCGCCCATAGAAAGGAATCCAAGACAGTCTTTGGATTCCAGGTACTTGATTCTAGTCTTGGAACTTAGATTCTGGATTTAAATCGCTAATGGAATTACGCATTCCTTGAGCTGCATTCCGGATTCCAGAGCCCAGGATCCTGGATTACACAAGCAAAAAATTTCCCAGATTCCAGAATCCGGATTCCTTTACATAGAGCGAAGTTATAAAATGTGGCAAGTGAAAACCACAGGGAGGCCTAAAGTGATTGTGTCTGTTATACTACTACTACTACTACTACTACTACGACGACGACGACGACGACGACGACGACGACGACGACCACGACGACCACGACGACCACGACGACCACGACGACCACGACGACCACGACGACCACGACGACTTTGACGACTACGACGACTACTAGATAATACCAATATACCCTAGTTACGATTCCGTTGATTTTATCGGATTGAGAGACAATAGTTAGGGTCATGAACAATTTATTCACTGTATCCGTTTAGTAGTGTACACAACTCGATGAACCACGGTTCGACTGAGTAAACACTTGTAACCGCACCGCGAGACCTTTTTAAAAGGCAACTGTTGACCTAAAGGCGGCTGATAATCGCACGAGCGCCCCGCTTCGGTAAAGGCTTAGGCGAGCCGTCCTCACGATCAGTTTGCTTTGGCTGTGTATACTCAATTTGATTTATCTACAAATGAATGAGAAACTATTGTGTTTGTAAAGTTCTCTGTTAGCAACGACTTGTAAGGTGTATTTGCTAATATGCAATCGTAATTTATGCACAGCTGATGAAAGAAAGGATGATATATGTTTCCAAGCTAAATTATAGGTGTCCACTTTATCAAACATATTCCCTTAGCCAAACAGCAATCAGCAAGAAACTAAGGGAAACCTTATAGTTACGGGTAAATATCAGAAACATGAAGAAAAAACGTCAGGACATAGGAAGCTATAGCAACGACGTCCGGCCAAGGCAACGAGTAAGTTAAAAAAGCTATAGGTCCCTTACCATGGGTGGTTTTCTGATTCACAGGTCTTTGCCCTGTGCCCTCCCCTTTTGAAAATGTCAGTTTAGCTTCCTTCATACTTGGGCTGTTTTATCACATTATCCTCTTAGTTTTTGAACTTACACAAATCCCAGGTGGTGTTTCTGGGTACTGGAGAGCATATGCAGCTTCCAGCTGCCATGCCCCAATTTTAAAAGTAATATCAAAAGATGTGGAGTAATTAGGAAAAGTAGTCTTCAAGTGAAGGAGGATCCAGTTGAAAAAAACTGGAGGCCTGATTTCCATAGAGGCATGTAAGGGCATTTCTTAGGAGAGCACTGACTACATACATTTTGCCCACACTACTGAGACCAATTTTCAAATTTTTTTTAAAGTCCAGAAACTTAAAGTAGTTTGTGACATCATTAAATAGCCATTCTACTGATTCTGACACTACTCATCGATCGATTGAAATCCATCATTTGAGGGGTTAAGACTCTATTCATAAAAGGGGCTTGAAGGTGTATCCTTAAATGGTATGCCGGATCACCATAAATGCAGTATGGATTTCCAAAAGGGGAGTTTGCAAATGCTTGGAGGTCATTAAGGAGTCTTGAATGTGCCA